CTTTCCATTTCTTCACTAGCCTCTGTCCTTTTTTCTGCACAACTGCGAACTTTTATCAAAATATGTCAAGGTCACTGACAGTAGCCTCATCATCACCTAGAGATGACCACATGATCCTATTCAGAAGTTTTAACTAGAAGAATCATTTGATCTCTGGAGGGGGGGAGCAATTCTATCCCTTTGTATATGCATTTTACCCGCCAATATTTCAGTTTCGGAATTGATTCTGTTGCTACCATTCAATTTCCAGTAAAAGAATAATTCTGCTCTACACCATGGAGTCTGAGTATTTCTTTCTTGGGATTTAGAAGGAGCACAGTCTGACATTATTCCGAAACTCCAATATCAACCCACCCGGAGAAAACAGCAACTTTTTCTTCCGAGGGGGTTTCATCTCATGTCGTCTCCAGCCAGCGATGAAGAGGACCAGGGAGCTGTGGGAGGGCAGCCGATGCTGCTACCAGAGATGCCGGCTGCTGACCTACTGGCCGACCTGACTCTGGAAGAAACCCCTGCTGAGATGCCCAGATGGTCGTTGGGGGTTGGTTGGAGAGATCAGGACGACCCCCCTCCTCCCAGAATCACTGTAAGACGAAGGGGTGCGAAGGAACGACTGTGGCAGGAGGGGGAGGAGATGGAATGCAGGCTGGATCAAGGCGGCAGGTTCCTTATGGAGGTTTCTGAAAAGCCCGGCACGGCTCCAAGGTATGAGGGGGAAGGGGGAGCGAAGTCAGCCCGGGGAAGTCGAGCTACCCCCACCCCCCTAGCCCAGCCTACGCCGGCGCAGCCACCCGCGGCCGCCTGGGGAGCCCCAGCAATAGGTGTGCTTCCTGGAAGACGCCCCCTGCCTCCCTTAGATGTGAAATTTGGAGGAAATCCCAGAGACTTGGGGTTTTTCCTGGTGCAAGTGGGAAGCTATATGGCAGAATTTGAAAGGGAGTTCAATTCTGAAGCAGCCAAAGTGAGATGTGTCACCAGGACCCTGGAAGGGTTGGCAGCAGACTGGGTGGTGACTTTGTTCAATGATAACTCCCCCCAACTGCGAAACCTCGATGTTTTCATGACTGCATTGAGGAGAAGATTTGAGGACCCCCTGGCAGAGAGAAGGGCTAGAATCAAAATGAAAACCTTAACCCAAGGGGGGAGATCGGTTGCAGATTACACCCAGGAGTTCAGGCAGTTGGTCTCCTGTCTCCGAGGCTGGCCCCAAGAGGCCCTGGTGGAAACTTACAAAGATGGCTTAAATGAAGATGTATACCACATGTGCATCTCCCGGAGGGATCCACGTGATTTGCAGTCGTGGTACTTGCTGGCGGAAGAGGTGGATATTGATCTGGCTCGAAGCAGACGCAGAGGAGGCCCCGGCTGGAGAAAACTACTCCCCCCACATCCCCAAGAGACCTCCACTCCCCAAAGAGGAGGGATGGCGGCAAGGGCCAAGACCACAGCCTGTTTCCGTTGCGGGAAGGAGGGCCACCGGATGGCGGAGCGTCGAGTCAAGTTGGTCCCACCAAAGACGCAGGGTCCAGGGAGGAAGCCCGGTAAACCCCCAACCAAGCCCCGCGAGACCGGACTGAAGGCGAGGGAGGTTGTAGAGGTCGCCCTTCCGGCGGGAGAGGAGCTGGGACCTCCAACCCTACTCGACGAGACCGATTCGGAGGATGACGCCTCGGTAAGTCCTACCCAGGGGCCCATGACCATCCCAATAAAGTTAAGGGACCCTACATCGGGGACCGAGGGAGAGATGTTGGCCTTGTTGGACTCGGGGTGCACGAGGTGTGTAATTAACATGAAAGTAGTAAAAAATATGGGCATCGGACTGAGAACTTTAAGAACGCCCATAGCTTTCTGTCAATTGGACGGATCTGTGGCGGGAGGTCACCCAGCGAGCTTTATAACGGAACCCTTAGAGATGACCATGGGAACTCACCGCGAGATCTTATGCTTTATCGTGGCCCCCGGGATGGAACAGCCTTTAATATTGGGATTACCCTGGCTTCGGAAGTGGAACCCCCAGGTGAACTGGAGAGAGGGGTGGATACGCATCCGCACCGATCGGCCACCGGAAGGGGAGGAGCCCCACCCTCGGGAGGGGGAGGAGAAGTCCCATCCGAAGCCCCAAGTTACGGGTGAGGCAGCTTCCGCAGGTGTCGAACGAGTGGATGGGGAGGAGAAAATCCCGAAGGAGTACTGGGACTTAAGAGAAGTGTTTAGCGAAGAGGCCTCTGACGAGCTCCCTCCCCATCGCTCAACCGATTGCAGCATTGAATTTCTACCGGGGGTAACGCTCCCGAAACCGAAGCTGTATTCGATGACACCGGGGGAGCTGGAAGAACTGAGAGCGTTCATCGACAAGAACCTGAAACGCGGTTTCATCACGCCTGCCAGACCTCGAGTGGCAGCCCCTGTAATGTTCCGCGAGAAGAAAGACGGCTCAAAACGTCTGGTCGTGGACTACCGAAATTTAAACGCTGTGTCGGTGGAGAATGTGGCCAGGCCAACTGCACCTTGGAAGGAAATTTCCATGGACTTTATAGTAGATCTACCCGAGAGTGTTGGACACACTGTCATTTGGGTAGTGACTGATTTGACAGCTGGCAAGATATGACACACTCCTTTTTAATTACACTTTCATAATCATTATTTACAAGATATCATTCCAAAAATCTTTGGGCAGGGATGCCTATGATTATCACCCCACTCCCTGGCAACAATTCTGCCAAATGGATTTTGATGCCTTTATCGATAAGTCTTAATAAAAAAGGGGAAATGATGTTAAATTTCATTCATAACAACAAACAACTGCAAGAAACATCATGTTAAACATCTGCTTTCCTTTCTGCATGATAGGACTACCCTTGGTAACATAGTTTATTTAAAAATGCTACCGGTATAAACCCACCTTAATTTTCAACACTGTAGAATTAAGCCCTTAGTGACTACTGGGGAAAAAAATCAAGTGCAGATACTAGCTTAATATTTCCATATAAAAAATAACACAACTGGGGAATGGTATACTGAAGGGTACAATTTATGCAGAGGTACCACTGGGTGTCAGGCTTACAGTCCAGCATTACTCAAACTTGGCCACTTGAACATGTGAGGACTTCAACTCCCAGAATCCCCAACGCTGGGTTAAAACATCGCTATATAAACACTCGCCTGGAAGTCAACTGCCTCAATAAACACGCTAGGAATTACTTCATGGCGGAGTTAAACGCTTAAAAACTCCGCTGCGAATTCCACTGAGCTTCGCAACCTAGTCAGGATTACTTTCGGCGTCCTTAAACATCCTTTAAGCCTTCAAGAACGACAACGACGACAGCGGTGTGTGTGTGGGGGGGGGAATAGAGGAGGAAGAAGGACAAAAATTCAAATGACAACCCCCTCCCCGCCCCCCCCCCCCCCCCCCCCCCCCCCCCCCCTTATCACCCCCCCCCCCCCGCTCCCCCCATACGCGCGTGCCGTTGCGAGAGAATGACGCAAGCCGGCAGCCGGGGCGGCGTGACATATACGGAAGGGCGAGTCCCACCCCTGGCAGAAGAGTCGTGGCGGCACCGCCGAGGCGCAGGCAGGCGCGAGCTGGAGCCCGACAGGTGAGGGCTGGCAGGGGACGACGCAAGCGCGCGAAGGGGTTGTGTGTGGGGGGGGAAGCTCCGGCCCGGGGCTGCTCCTGCTTTGGCGCTTGCCGGAGGCAGAGGCTGCCGTGGAGGACGCCCCGCGGTTTTCCGGATTGAATGAAGCGGGGTGGGACGGGAAGGCGCGGGGTCCGCTTGTGCCTCTGTTTCTAAGGGGGAAAGGTTCCACCGCGGTGCTTCCGAACGCGACCCCAATGGCGTGTAGACGTGTGTCCTCACGTCCACGTGCAAAGAGCCCTCTCGTTGAGGGCATTCCCCGGGCGTTTCATTTAATGCATTTTCAGGACCGGCGTGGAGGGCGGTATGTCCTAAAGCTAACCTGACTGGACTGGGTGAGTTTGCACAACAGCGCCGAGCCCCACGGAAAGAAAGCTTAACCAAGGTTAAATGCTCACTAAGGTTAGCATGCTGTGTGTTCCTATCCTCCCTGGTTGGCTTGGTTTGGGCTTGACAGCCCTTGGCTGTGGATTAATCTGATCATTAGTGATGAAATTAGTAACTCTGACCTTCGTATAATAAGTCTCAATCAACGGCACCAGGATTTATCCTGAAAGGATAGTATTTCTCCATCCTAACAAATCCAAGCATTGCAAAATGAGTGCAAAAAACAACCCAACCAGTGGAACAATCTGATATCAATTTAAGTGTGTACAAAGGGGAGCAAGATTCCATTTTATGGAACAGATGACACTGCATGATAATGTACATTTTATTTAAATTGGCTTCTGTGTAAACAGTAAAAGTCTGAATAGTTTTATACTTCTGCACTTGTGAAACAACTAGAATTGAAAAAAGTGTTCATATGACATGAGTGGGTTGTATTTTACAAAAAAACCTCTTAATTTATTGCATTTATAAATATTTGCAAATATTAACCCTTAATTATATTCTATTATATTTTTACTACAAAATGAAAAATATCAATGATGCAGTTAAAGTTAGTCTTTGGGAATACTGTTTCCCCTCATAGTAATGGAAGCTAACTTCCTACCTAAACCATTAGCTCTGAGGCAGCTGTAGCACCTGGCCATCCTTGTCTAGGCTTTGAAATGAGCACAGCTAGGCCTGGCTCATATTTGAAGGGGGCAACTATACAAAATTCCCAGAAGAATTTTGGCTGCAAGATTAAAAAAAAATATTCCTTGAAGACAGCAGGCATAAATCAATTTGAAATTGTTGCCAAAAATACTATAGACTTTTGGGAGGTCAGAAGGAAACCAGTTTGAGTAAAGGAGTACTTTAGCTTGGAAAGGGCCCGTAGAAAGAACACCCCCCACCCTTGAAAAGGAATGCCATGCTTCTATTCCTGTCATTTCACTGAAACAACCATGCTTATTATGAGGTTTCTTTTTTTTCCTCCTTGTGCTTAAACAAAGAGATAATTTGCAACATCTTCTGATGAACTGGCCCAAGTTGGGAATAGAATTTACAGTCTCCTCCTTTCTACACTGATGCCTTAACTACTCTACCAAACTGGCTTCGTTGGGTTAGTTAGAATACTTAGTTGGAAATCTATATTCTCTTTCCCAAGCAAACGACAACATTGGGGGAAAGGGATAATCTAGCCTAATCTGTTATCCCTCAAGTGAGTATAGCACTCAATACCCAGCCAGCCTGGCCTTCACAAGTTCCAGTATACCAAAAAATTGGGAAGGCAGATGGTGCTGGCTTTTATACGTGAAGAGTTGGTATACTTGTGGATCCAAAGGTTCTTCTCTGTCTCAGAATTCCTGCTCATTGACGTTTGTTCTCTTCATTTCAAAGACGTGTTCTTGAGGGAAAGCGCCATGTCGTGGATAAGAGAAGGCGAATTGTCCCTATGGGAGAGATTCTGTGCTAGCGTAATAAAGGTATGTGCTAACTCAATGTTATCTTCAGTTACTGAAATGCAATGCTTACCTAGAAATATTGGATCACAATGTTTAATATTTAAGGGGAGGAGGAACAGCATTCTTCAGATGAAGCTCTTCCAGATGCTTTGACCTCAACATCAGTTATTCCAGTCAGCTTAGGGGGTCAGATGGTAGGTGTCCTTGTCCAAAACTTTGGAAGAGATCACAGTTGAGAATTGTATTCCTAGATGATGGTTAAATTGTGCCAGCTAAGAATTGTCTTCCTCTTCATGTAGATTCTATTTGTTAATGTACCTTTGAGTAAAAAGATGCAAAAGCAAAAATCTGCTTGCATACAGTGGGCAGAAGAATGCTAAAGCTTGTAACTCTTGCATAGCCATCAATAATAGATTTGGGGGCAGAATTGCACAAAGCTGCCACTCACTGAATTTAGGAGTAGAGGAATTGTTCGTGTCTGCTGTCCCTATTGTATTTTGCAAGTAAATGGCCAAGTTATGTTAAGCTTTGACATTTTCATGAAGATGGCAGCTTGAATCTTCATGCTGCCATCTTTATATTCTCATTCTATTCTGGGAATCATTGGTTTTTTAATGCCTGCCATAGTATTTTATGGAAGGGAAGGTGGGATTTACATTTAAAATAAAACTTGCATCTTATATGCGTATGTTAGTAAAATTCCAGGATGGTTCTGCAGTCCTTCCACTTGCAGAATAAGTAGCTTCTAAACCATATTTTCTTTCTCTGATCTTCTTCCCATCTCAGGAGTGATGGTTCTTACAAGTTTTTTATAGGATTAGAAGTAGAGAGGTATTGTGATTTTTCTTTCTCTCTCTCTCTCTGCCCCTTTTCACGCTTTCTCTCCCCTCAAAAGTATTTCAGGAGTATAGAACTGCAGCTCAATCAGCTGTAGACTCATTGGTCAGAAGCAGACTTCATGATTTATTCCTGGGATACTTCTTAAGGAGGCCAGAGCAGAGAATTCATGTTTCAACTGTAGGGTCATCTCAAAACAATTCTGGTCTCACTTGTACATCTCTTGCTCTGAGGCTAATATTTCTTGCTTCAATTCCAGGCAGGGCCAATGCCCAAGCACATTGCATTCATCATGGATGGCAATCGTCGTTATGCTCAGAAGCATAAAGTGAAGAAGCTGGAAGGACATTCACATGGTTTTGCAAAATTAACACAGGTAGGAAGAATCTTTCCTGAGCATCACATCAAGAATGCAAAGATGATTATCTCAAAATGATTACTATGACATGCCAAAGCACGACTCCCCTGTTAAAAAAAAACTAGTAGGAATCCTGTAGCTCCTAGTTGGACTAATTTCAAAAACTCTTTGAAAGTGATCAGATTGGAACTATATTAAGAATCTGTTCCTTGCTCAGTTCACTCATGGAGAGGAGGAAATCGCTGCTAACTCAGAGAGAGAGAGGGAGAAAGAGATCTTTTTTCATGTTTGGATATTTCTAGATTGGATGTTCATAATGTGCAAGGGAGAAATTGGTGATGTGCTACATACATGTACCAGGATACCAACTGTGTCTGATTTTCAGGTCATCAACACGTCAGTTAATTTAGCAGGATGCAAAAAGGGCATCTGGAAAGCCTCGTGCAACCTGCCAACATCCCATTTTTGTGATATTAGTCTTTGGAATGTTACTGGGCTAAAAAAAAGAGGGAGTTTTATCCATTCTGGGTTTTTTTTTAAGCAAGTTGATTACTTTGCAGGTTTTAAGGTAATAATTTCACTGTTTAAATATCTCTAAATTTTCCTCACAAAATGGGCTTGGTCCTAATTATTTTTAGAATGTGGTCCTTGAAGTTCCATGTAAAACCTGATGCAGCACTTGAACCCGTAAAAATTGTACACCCTTCATTTAAGAGAAGAGAAAACATATTGCTAAACAGCGGTAAAGCTTTCTTGCATCAGCTGTCTAAAATACCCAAATAGTAATGTATAATTATAGTAGAGCCTCAGTTGAATGGATCAACCGCAGTGAGGAAATGTCTGTTAAACCCAAACATAGGCCAAAACACAAATTATTCAAAGCAACTTAATTAAATTACACAAATCACTGCCGGTGTTGTACATTGCATCATTTGATAATGTGATGCAAATGACATCTGTAAATCACTGAGTGATATAAGATTAATTTAAATTGCCACCTTCAGATTCAGATGGAATGGACTTGCCCAATAGTTGGGAGGGTGATATCTAGACAGAAGTGTAATCTATTACATCCTCTAAATGGGGAATTTAAACCAAGGTTTTATTCTATTTCTGCCTTAACTTGTCTTCCTCCATAGACATTACAATGGTGCTTGAGTCTGGGTGTCCGGGAAGTCACAGTTTATGCCTTTAGCATTGAGAATTTCAAGCGATCCCAAGAAGAAGTTGAGGGCTTGATGCAATTGGCTAGGCAAAAATTCATCCGTCTTCTTGAAGAACAGTAAGATTATTATTTTTTTCTATTCCATGATTTTGCCATGATTAAGTGAATCACTGCAGTTATTAATCATGTGATCATGATTTGCAGCCCTCCTTGTCGGGTCTCCCATTGACTTTGCTCATCAGAAGCAGGCTGGGAAGGTTGCAAGTTGTAATCACATGACCATAGGATGCTGCAATAGTCATAACTTCAAGGACAGGTCATAAGTCACTTTTTCAGTACTATCAGAACTTCAAACTGTTGTTAAACAAATTGTCATAAGTCAAAGACTACCTGTATGATTGTATATATTTCTCTTAAATTGTTTAGAATGTGCAAATCCCCTTCACATTCAGTCAAGATGATTATTACTTGCTGAGTTCATGCATCATGCTAAACATGGTTGGTTGAAGAGCCTATAACGCAGGTTCACGCAGCATTTTAAGCCAAAACCATATATTGTGGCTTTCTGCAGTGCATAAATTCAGTGACAAACCAATATCAAATTATTTAATATTTTGTATTTTCGCATGCAATTACTGATATTCCTGGCCAATTAGGTGCTTGGTTATTTAATTTTGGGGAGGGAGCTGCATCTGAGAAGAATGTGAGCAATTTGACAGCTAAGGACAGAATCATGAAGAGCAGTTAAATAAATTAATGCCATCGTGTGCAATAATAGGTGACTTTTAATCCACTACATTAATATATGTTTGCTAATTTTAATGCATTTGAATAGAATAATAACTTACCAGGTATTATATGAAAAGCCTGGAGAACCTGATAGGAAAATTTCAAATCTCTTGCTGCCTTACTATTATCCATGTAGCTGCATTTCCTTTCTTGCTCATGAGGAAATCTATTTGATGTATGTTTCTCTCCCCACGTCACACGTCTTGTTTCAAGCTATCAGCTTATTTCTGAATAACCAAGTCTCAGTTATGTGATTTTATATATATTGCTTAGTCTTGGCTTCCTTTTTTTTTTTTTTAAAGAATTCAGTTTTTCTCTTCCCCTTTCCTTAGAGAGAACTTGGAGAAACATGGTGTGTGTATTCGAATTCTTGGCGATCTGACCCTTCTGCCACAGGATATCCAGGAACTAATTGCTAAGGTTGTGCTGGCAACTAAGCATTATAACACGTGAGTTTGTTTCCAGTTTCTTGAACTTTTTCTCCTACTCCAGAACTGCATACTTTTGTTTTGTTTTGTTTTTTTCAGATCAAGGACCATGCTTCACCAGGCCAGAATTTTAGCTTGGATGCCACATCCCATATAGAGAGCTAGCTACATAGTGCCCTTTTTTGACCTCCCATTCTCCATACAGTATCTCCAATTATCTCTCTGTTGCCTTTCTTTTCAGAAACATGTTCCAGCAGATTAGGGTTCTTAAGAAAGCTCAGCATGATTAGCTCAATGGGTGGCCTTAGTTCAGGTCCTCTCAACTACAGTGACCAACCACCAAGTAGGACTTTAGAGCACCCAGTATTTCTTTTGTTACTTCCCTACACCTAGTATATAGAGGAACATTGCTTTTGTACATGGAATAGTTCTTTAGCTGTCTGAACTAACACCTTCTTAAGCTGTTATTTATTGTATGCTGTCCAGTCACATCTTGTGACATGGGTGGCTGTGTAAATATGATTAATTAAAAAAAAGGTAGAATGCTGAGTCTTGATTACAGTCTAGATTTGCTTGTTCAGTAACCATAATATGATTTGTTTAACTTTCACATAGAATGCTGGGGAAACATAATCATACTTGTAAATTTGGAATACAGTATGAGCTAACATGTTAAATGAACCCAATGAAGTGTGGATTTGTTTAATTATCATGTTACGCCTATGGTTTAGTGCACTAGTAGTTTATTAATTGAGACTAAGTTTGACTAGTTTTACAGCCATATCTATAAAGTTTAATGCAGTGTGTGAACTCTGTCACAGAGGACTCAGTGGCCCCTTTCTGGCAGGCAAAGTAAGGTCCATGGGATTAGGTTGGTTCCTTCAGTACAATGTCATCCTTCCTACTGGGTAGATACATTCTTTATTCCTTGGTCTGCTTCCTCTACAGTCTACACAATGAATAATCTATCTTTATTTTTCACATTCAAAGGTGTTTCTTGAACATTGGCTTTGCATATACATCAAGACAGGAGATCAGTAATGCAGTGAAAGAGTTGGCTTGGGGCGTTGAAGAAGGACTGCTTCAACCCAGGTAATTGCCCAGATGGTTCCCAAACTTTTTCAGTCCACCGCCCCCTTGGTGCTACAAACTCATCCTCAGTGCCCTCCACCCAGGGGTGGGATTCAAATTTCTTAACCGGTTCTGTGGGCGTGGCCTAATTTGTGGTGTGGCTTCGTGGTCACGTGACTGGGTAAGCATGGCTTGGTGGTCATGTGATAATGAGCATGGCCATGTGACGGGCAAACCAAATACAAGTGGTCCTCGCTTAATGGCTGGTTGCTTAAATTAGTGTTCTAATTTATGACAGACCTCCCCAGAGCTACTTGACCTGTTTTTGGAGTTTTGACAGCCATGCACACACACACACACAGTGCCTCCCTTCTAACCCTGCTGGAGCAGGTGGTTGGACTAGATATCTCATTCACTTTCTCCTCTCTCCCTTTTTCTTTCTTTCTTTCTTTTTTCTTTCTGTCCCTTCCATCCCCCTCTTTCTTTGTCTATCCCATTTCTTCCTTTTTCTTTCTTTCTCTTTTCTTTCTTTACTTTCTTGTATCTTCCTCTCTCTCTTTCTTTCTCTCTATCCTTTCCCTTCCTCCTTTGCTCTCTCCTCGTAAGCTAGGAGACCCACCTGAAACACTCTCCCTTTCTCTCTCTGTCTCTCTCTTCCAACAAGGTAGTCACCCGGCAGCGTCGCTCGTGATGAGCCTCCCAGAGAGTCCCAGGGACCGGGCGTGATAGTCCGTTCATGCCCAGTTCCGCATTGCCTGGAAAAGCTGGCAGGCAAGGCTTCCGGGTCCAACAAAGGGGCTGCGGGTGGGACTTCCACCCCTCCCTCTTTTGGGGAAAGGGCTGGGAACTTCAAACGAGGCTGCAGCCTTACCCACCACAGGAGCCGTGGGAGAAGTGAGCTGCAGGAAAGGTGAACCAGCCCACCCTGACTGGCTCACCTTTCCCTCTGCCACCAGCCACGGGAGGAAGGTAAGTTTCTAGGCAGTCAGGAAAGCCCAAACCACAGCAAACAAACTTACCTTCCTCCCGCGGCTGGTGGCAGAGGGAAAGGTGAGCCAATCAGGGCAGACCCGTTGCTACTCAGCTCACCGCCAGCCTGCCTCTCGTCAGTTGGTGGGGCTTGCGGGTCATGGCTGCTGAGGGGGAGTGTGGGAGGCAACCAGGAAGCACGAGGCTTATGTTGCCTGCATCGCTCCTCTGCCAGCCGCCCCTCTGAGCGCTTTAGCTGAGTGCGGGCTGCCGCTAGGCAAGCTCCATGGGTGGAAGATCTGCTCTCGTGAGGCTTGACTCGTATCATTCTCACAGTGGCGGCCCACATTCAGCCAAAGCATGCAAGCTGGCAAGTGGTAGAGGGAAGGGGGCGGCAGGCAAGGGGCAATGCGGGAGGCATAGCATCGTGCTCCCTGGTTGCCTCCCCCCCACCCCTAGCCGGCAAGGCCTAGCAGCTGCAGAGAATCCAGGAGGGACGCAAGCGGCAACGGATCAGACCTCGCTCGCCTTCCTCTCGGCCACCAGCAAGCTAGGCAAGTGGGGTGAGGGCGAAGCTGAATTGTGGCCTGTGAGGGGCCCACCTCCAGCACTCCTCTGCTGCCCCCCTTGCCTCTTAGCGTCCCCCTAAGTCATCCCACCGCCTCCCCAGGGGGTGGTACCACCCACTTTGGGAACCACTGCCATAGAACATACCACTTACATGGCCCTTGGGTTAGCTTGGAAGCTGTCTGCATTTTTTCTTGAAGCTGTTCTCAAAAATATTTAGTGGGCTAAAAATGAATACGTAAACATTTAAAGCACGGAGAAAACTTTGAAAGCAACAGATATGCAAAGTGCTTGGAAGAATCAGTCAGCCAGATACTGACAACTTGGCACAGCCAACTCACCACAGGACAACTTGCCACAGGATAATTCAACATGAGACAAAACTTGCCACGGGAAAGGAGAATTGCAGCTCAACCAAGCCTCGAGGACTTGAGAAGTTTCAAATCAAAGCAAGACCAGCCTAGTTGCAATTCACTCATCCCTCTCTTGAGTTATCCCGCATTGACTTGTCCCATGGCGAGTTGTCCTGCAATGAGTTGGCCAGGGCGAGTCGGCTACGGCGAGTTTTCCTAGTCCCAACTCTGGAGCCAGAAATATTAAAAAGGGGGCAATCAGGAAGGGATCATTATAAAGCACTTGACTCCCTTTATGAGAACAAGATACTGCTAACAAAGCAAACTCCAACTTTGGTACCACTGGCACTTTCTATATTTTACAGCTGAGTCAGATTATACTCTGAAATCTTTAATTTCAATTATATGCCACTACTTTTTTAAGAAAATATTTAGCTATATTTGTGCATTTCCAGGTGGCTAAAAATCATGTTTCTATTCATTTATTTATATCTGCCTTTACTATTTTCACAAATAAGGCAGTGAACATATCCAACTCACCTTCCTCCTGTTTTCCTCACAACAATAGTGCTGTGAGGTAGGTTGAGCTGAAAGAAAGAGAATGGCTCAAGTCACCCAGCTGGTTTTCATGACTAAGTTGGGACTCACAATCTCTTGCTTTCTAGCCTGGTGCCTGTTGTGGTGGGGTGGGGTGGGTGGGTGCACGAAGGGAGACTCAGCCGATCTCAGTTTGATTTGATTTGATTAACCACTAGCTACTGCACTTCTCATTTAGCTGCCGGTACTACAATATGTTCCAGCAAATTTCTTGTGAAATGAAATGGTCACTAAATGGTCATGTTCTGTGCCTGACATTTATTTTTCCTTTTTTTGCCCCTTTGTAGGATGGAGAGATTGCTTAAATTTCTATCTCTTCCAGCAAGTTAACAAGCCCATCTATGACTTTAATTATAATGGCTGGGCTGCTGCTTGAAACTGACCAGATCTCTGTCAGTTTCACACTAAATACTTTTGTTGTCAAGCTCATGAAATTTGGTGGTAAATTCACCCATTTATCAGACAATGATTTTTTTATTAACATTTTGTACCATTGTATCTGTAAATGCTGTCTAACTGAGGTGGTCTCTAAACAAGGGGCAGCTGTAACTTATTTAGTTTTTAACTATATAAATGATTTTATGAGATCTTTTAGCTCAGAGGTTAAGGTTCTGCCAAATTACAAATTTATCATATAGAAACAAATAAGACATATAACGTCATTGCATATCATAACATTTGAGAGGTAGCATACTATTAAGACTGATAACTACTAATAGTCTTGCCAGAATCAAGTTGACTAATACTGAAAAAAAGAGTCATATAATTGCTAAAGACAATTGCATCTAAACAACTGATAAGAAGAAAATTGGTACAGAGACAGAAAAGAAACAAGCATTAGAGTGTGATTTGCTTCATATCAAAAGAGTTGTCCAGTTGTGTAAATTGTGTAATGTCTGTCCTGCTCATTCTTAATAAATTCCAAACACTGGAGACATCCAAGAAAACCTAGGTGTCCCTTGTTATGTTGGTTTGAAGTCACATAATTGTTTTTAGTTATTTAGCTGCCTATCTCGTACAAGGACTCTAGGTGACTCACATCAATTCATAAAAACATGTTTAAAAACAAGAGTATCCTTCCCTTCCAGGCAACAGACCAAACATCCTCAACCCCCACCGTAGTCCAATGTTTGGGGAAAGAGCCAGGTCTTCAAAGGCTAATGGAAGCCTAAAAGGGTAAAGATCATTCAGATCTCAGGTGGCAGGCTGTCCCAAAGGACTGCAGCAACCACCGAGAAGGCGCACCTGTCAGGTCCCATCAGGTGTCAACATCTGAGGAAGAGGACCTGCAGTGTGCCCAATTTATCGAATCTAGTGGGATGGGAAGAAGAAACAGTCTTGCAAGCAACTGGGCCTTGTGCCATGTAGGACTTCAAAGATAACCAGCACCTTTATTAGTTGATAAATATTACCCAATAACTATGAATCATTAACTAATAGTGAATAACTATAATAACTTTAATAGCCATTAATATTGTGTGAGTTTTGCTCCAAACTGTAGCAATAATAGGAATAGTTATGTGAATTAACATAATTCTTGAATTGCATTTTAAGATTGTTTCCCAAAATAAATTCTGCATGCTCTCTCTCTCTTATTCCCTCGTTCCCTTCCTCCTCAGTGATGTGTCAGAATCGCTCATCGACAAATGCCTTTATTCCTGCAAATCTCCTCATCCAGACATCCTGATCAGAACATCTGGAGAAGTTCGACTTAGTGATTTTATGCTCTGGCAGGTAAATCTGTAGTGTAATATCTCACCCGCTAATTAGCAAAATTGTATTTTCTTGCTTTGCAATCAATCATCTGACATTCAGCTCTCTGGGTTTTGTTGTTGGATATAAGAAAAGACCTTGTGTGATAAACACTCCTCTTAAAAAAACAAAACAAAATCCCTGAACTCTCTTCCTGGAAACTGCTATAATAAGTGCTTCAAAGAGATAATTGAAAAAAATGTGGCCTTCTGCCATCCTAGTTAAGGAACTACCAAGTAGGTGGGTCGTTATCTGGTTCACTATAAAATACACAAATGCCCTTTGTTGTTCCTCGTCAATGGTAAAGCAGGGGGAGAATCTTTATATAGTTGCTGTAAAGAATTATATCTGGGGTTAACACTCTTCTGGAAACTCTTAACAGGCCCTTTCTTCATACTTTTGGCAAGACTGATTTCTATACAAGACAGTGCAAATTCCAGAAAGCAAATTTATTTTAAGCATTTTTGCCCAATACTTTTATAATTAGAAATACTCACAAACCTAATTGCAAATGTTGGTAATAAAATAAACCTGCCTTTGAATTTGCAATGTAAACATTCATAGCAAGGAAGATGGAGGAGGCTATTTTAGGACACTTTTATAACTTTCTAACAGGAACAGTCACAGTTTGGTCTTTCTAGGTTTACTTTCTGTGGCTGATTGCATGCTGCCAAGGGCTGTAGTATAGTATACATACTATCATTTAACTATATTCCAGGGCTATAGTATATACTGTCTATACTATAGCACAGCATATATCTCCTTAGTATAGCTGATGCACTGAATGGAAGCATTGCCGAGATTTTTTTTCTGATATCCCTTCCAATCCTTACACTCTGTGATTCTAAGCTGGCTACTTTTGCCCGGCGTTTTTCTTGAGCAGTTTTTAGAGACCCTGTCCCCAAGATGATATAGGGGACAGAGTATACTGTCCATTTCAGAATCATTGAACAATTGGAAAGGAAGTTTGTTTTGAAATAATCTAGCAATGTTGCGTGTTTTGATTACCTTCCTTTCCTTTGTAGTCTCTCTATTAAATGCCTTCCTTTTTCTTTTCAGACATCCCATTCTTGCCTTGTGTTTCAAAGTGTTCTGTGGCCAGATTATTCGTTCTGGAATTTATGCGAGGCCATCCTTCGGTTTCAGATGAACTACAATGCATTACAAGTAAGACTGAAGAAAGAAAAGGCTAAGTGAAAAAGCAATCTCAGGCTCTCAGCATATGTACTTTAAATAATTGAACTGTCTGTCCCAAGATTTCAGGGACAGGAAAACAGCATGTTTTGCTTGCTGAGGCTTTTCAGACTAACGTTAGGGGACAGGATGAGGATAGTAGAGAATATGCAAAGGATGATCAGTATTCCTAGTTACACAAAAGGGTTTGGGCATTGGTGAAGCAACAGATGTTGGAATGTATCCAAATAGTTGATAGGATTGTTCTGACAGGTCTCTAGATAGTGCCCTGAAGTCCTATACTGTTGGATTTTCATTTCATGGATATTCTTTATTGTGCAAACAGTGACAATAATATGATAATTGCTTACAATACTTTGTATTTTTGACCAGAGGATGAACTTGTCCTATGAAGATATAATTATTTTATTTAAGTGGCTTTGAACTCTCTATAATCTTAGAAAGTTTGTACATGCAAATCTAAAAAAGGGGTGAAGTAGAGTTCTGGTTTTATTAGCCAGTAGACAAATGGGCTGAATATTTTCCAGCACTGAATTCTCATTGATTCATTTTGGCTTTATAGTAAAAAGTTTAACAGTTTTGCCCCAACAACCCAACTTGATTTGGAATGAGCTGCAAATGTGCTTCTAATTTTGTAAGTGGGTTTTCTGAGCTATCTCATTTTGTTATGTAAAAACGAATGGAAAAGTACAAACATCAAAGATCTTCAATAGTGACCATGCCAATTGAGAGGAAAAGGTTTGGAAAAAGACCACAAAATTTTACAGGAGAAAGGACTAAAACTTCATTACCTGCTGGCCTAAGAGAATTTTATAAATAGGAGAGAATCCAGTGAGCCAAATCATAATATAGTTTGCCTTGTATGTTTTGTACTGACAAAAGGTCCTGGGAATTGAAGTCCAAGACATTTGGAGGGTACTGGTAGAGTGATGCTGATCTATGCTAAGAAACTTAAGTAAATCATTATTGCTTTTCTTTTTGCCAGAAAGCCAGAGATGTATACGTGGAACAAAGGAAGTTGCAACAGTTAGAAACTGATAAGGCACAAGTCTTACAGAAACTGAAAAATGAAGAATCAGCAACCTGTGGAGATACTCAAAAATGCTGGACACTTTTGCGAGAATTCGAAGCTAAACGGGAAGAGAGAATTCAAAGGTTTTTGCAGGCCCTTGAGCACAAAAGGATAGACTTCCTAGAAAAACTGGCATTGGCAGATGCAAGATAAGAAGGTTCCTCTTGAGGATAGGGGAGAGAAGAGGGGGCAAAAATGAGCCAGGTTGCAAATAATCCAATTGCTGCTCAGTGGATGACATGAAATGGGACCCTAGGTTTATTCTATGTGCACATGCACATGGCTGGGGACCATGGCACTTGAAGTGTATGTTTACCAAATTTAATGAAACAAGGTATTTGTGTAGAGCTAACAAATGAAAAGAATAGCATCAAATCTTTCTAGGTGCAAAAGTCTGCTCATGCTGAGGGGCTTTGCTCCATATTCTACAAACTGTTGTTTTTCTCTTCCACAATTCAAAGACTTAACCAGAATCCTGAGAAGCTGCCTGCCCTGGAATGCAGAGATGCTGCATCTGAGGAGATCAGAGAAAAACCCCATTGCATGCACCCAAGCAGATTTATTCTAGAATAAATTAAATGTTTATTCTTTGTTGCCTCCATTTTAACATCAACTGTTTTTGGACCATTTGTTTTCCATTCTTGATACCAACTTGTGATACAGATTGTACGTAAGTTTCTCAGGAACATGCATTGTTCCTCTGGCTTTAGTAAACTAGGAAAATGTCATCCTTCAGGTTAACTATATATATCCTTCTAGATTATGGGAATGTGCTGGGTACAACAGAACTTCAAGGTGTTTTTGATGCAGTATCTTCAAATGGGTTTGAGAAGGCATTTTAGCTTTAGATAACAGTACAAAATGTCCTTTTACACAAAAGTGCAGTATGGTGTAAATAACTCTGAAAAAGATAAAGGGCATCAACTATAAGTACAAAAATTTTGTTTCCCAAAAGAAACAACCAATTATTTCATGTTGCTTTTCAAAGACTAAATGAGAGTATTGGTGTATCATTCTAAAGCACTTAATTTTGAAATTGTGAGGGATGAACCCAGTTGTCAAGCCTATTGATTTTTAACAACCTGCTGGAGCCATTTAAAAAATAAATAAATTTGAGGTCATGTACAAGGGGGAAATGGTGACCAATACATTAATGGGTATTTTGTTCCCATGCAGTAATTTAATCTGTTACTACTATTATATCTGAAAGGCTGCTTCATTTGATCTCTACTTCTGAAGATCCTTATTACTGTAAAAAATATATAAATAAAAAATCCCAACCACATAAAATCTTTTAGTCATGAGATAATATATTAACCGTTAAAAACAAATTTCTGATAGTTTCCTGAAAAAGGCTAATGGGAAATTTAATAGGTAATTAGAGATTTCACATCTTTAAAAATCCCTATATGATACTGAAATCAAAGGTAGGCTCCCAGACCTTCAGGGTTGTAGTGTGTGTCTCTATAGATATTGCTTGTGTTTGTAAAGTGTGCAGTTGAACAACTTATTTCATTGAGCATTGATTCCTGTTGGACATTTAGATGAACATAGGTAACTAAAAAGCAACTGTTGGTGGCCCAGAACTCAACAAAAGGCTAATTACTATGCAGCATTATAACTGTGCTATATTGTGCTACAGTCCTACGGCCAGTCATCTGCTTTACCCATTCAGCAGAAACTCCTAGATACCTATATGAAAGTCTTGCATATGGCTTATTGTGGGCTGGAGTACATGCTCATCCACGACTCAGTCAGCAGACACATTGAGCTTATTTTGATGAATAAGTTGACAATGAAATGTCAAGTTGAATGTGAATGGGCATTCCTTTTTATGTGCTTAATAAGTCAAAGATAGGATTAAAGCATTTATACTCATTGTGCAGATCCTGGGTGAACAATTCAGCTGATGACTGTTGTGGCCATACTAGGCTTCTTGACCCTAGTGTTTCTCAGTCTTGGTCACCTTATGTTGGCTGGGGAATTCTTTGAAGTTCACATATTTTCAAGTGGCCATGGTACAGAAATGCTACCCTAGTATTTAGGGCTCCTAGATAATTCAAGCAAGAGACCAACTTACAAGACTTTAAGCAAAACAATAGTGTTTTCTCCAATAGTTTTTATCTAGAATTATATAAACCTGATTGTATAGAATGCAGATGGATTAAAAAATTGAGGCTTGTCACTTTAAAACCCTGTATTTTAAGTGGCTTCAAACACTATTTTCCAGTACTTTTTAAATGTAAAAGGATGGGTTCCAGCCATTAACTACAGCAACTGGAGGAACACTTTGTTTCATTATCTGTGTTTAGTTGAGAATCCAATTTTTCTAATGCCTTTCACTCAACAAGAAAAAAAAATCAAAGTATAAAAATTGTTGAGTTTATTGAATTCATGTCCCATTGTATTCAAAGAACTCTTAACGAATACAGCACAATCATGATTTCAATTATCACATAGAATACTCTACCAACATAAATGACAAAGGAGTGAAATAAAAAGAAATAAAAAGAAAAGCACAAGAACTTCAGTTGGGAAGGTTGCAAAAATCCTCTCTGGAATAATTAATTTTTCATAGTTTTCTAAATATTACAAGTGAGGGGCAAGTCTGATCTCCAATGGGAGATCAATTCAAAGCACCAATGTGGCTACAGAGAAGCAGCGCTATTGTTTATTTTTCTTCACCTCCCACAAATATGGAATCACTAGCTGCTGTTCCCTACAAAATCTGAAAGGCCAGCCATTCATAGCTATAATCTAACCAAAATTATGTAAATCATCTGAAAAAAGATCCTAGTCTCTGCTATTTTGAAATAGAACCATCCACTTACTGCACCTGATTTGTTGTGGGCTTAAGAGAACGGCTGCATATTCAGTGGTAGTGAATGTTTTGCATGCGGCAGGCTAGTTTCAGTCCCTAGCAGGGACCCAAGAGGAAGAAACACAGCAGATATATAAATTAGGTTCTTCCAACTTGGTACAATCCAGTTGGGTTCAAAAATAAAGACACTTGTCCATCATCTTTCCAGAGTAATCAACCAGTTGCCTCTAGGCAACTCGCAGTCCACAAGGGTAGGTCAGCCATACTTTGTAATGCCGGTTGCCAAACGCTAATTTGGATTGCTGGTCAAATGTAGTTCGCATGGTTGTGTTCTCAACTGTGTGAGAGGAGGGTGATGGTGTTGGTCTGTCTACTCTTTGCAGGTGTGTTTTTGACCTTGGAATAGATGGGGATTGTGGTAGCATAACCGCATGGTGCTGAAAAGGACAGCTCCCCGCTCGACCCCACGAAGGAAGCGCCTCGGGTGGGGGGGAGGAAAGGTGGACCCACCAGCCATCACTTGGCCCCCCCACCACGTTTGTTTTTTGTTTTGTTTTTTGGACAGGCGCCTTCTTCACGTGAAGCCTTTTTTGCCGCCTGCTCCCGGCTGAGACCCTGCCACTTCGCAGCCAAGGTTGAAAAGGAAGGGGGCGCTGTGGGTTGCGTTCCGCCGTGGCGAGGCAATGACCGCACCTTCCTCTTCCCTTCCAGCGTAGGGAAGAGGCCACCATCTTCCCCCGTGTCTTGCACCCAGATTCCTGTCAAACGGGGTTTTAACGGTCGGACAGAGGCGCTCTCGTCCGCAAACCCGGCGGTCCTTCGCTCTGCGCCTCCCGAAGGGAAACGCGCACCTCGGCTGCCCAGGTGCGCCGGGGAACTCCACCTTCCCACTCGTCCCCAAAGAGCCATTAGGCTGCCTGGTTTCCCCCTCCCCCCCCCCCTCCAAAAAAAAACAAGGCTGCAAGCTTCGGCTGGCCGTGCGGCTCTCAGATCGTCGTGGGGAAGTCGCCCTGTCTCCCGGGTCAGCCGAGAATGACTTGTGCGACGCATTAATACTCGGGGCCAGGCGTGTTCTTATTTACCACGGTGGGGGGCAGCCAGAGTGACGTTGAAAGTCTTTTATTTTTGCCATCCATTCGCTAGATTTATAAATCACGGGGGGGGGGGGGGACGACGGTTCCCCTCCAGCAAAAAAACCCCCGTTTTTTCTCTATCTCTTTCGGAATAGCGAGCGGAGCCCGGGGTGGGGGGGCATACCGTTTCTTTATTCTACCTGTTCTCACTTTTCAAGAATCAAACCAATCTGAGGTCTACTTGCAGCAGGACCAAACGGCCGCTTTGGTGGAGATAAAGGTGGACATTCAGTTGCGCGCGCGCTCTCTCTCTCTTCACCTCCCCTCGCAGAACCCGCCCTGGCTGTCTGTCCCTCGCCACGTGACCCGCTCTGTCCAATGGTTGGTCGGGGCGGTGGGGATCCGGCTGGAACCGGTTGGGCCGCGTCCGGCTCTATATAAAACTTTATAAACACCCGATTCAAATTAGTGGGGTCGCGAGCTACACGAGCGAGCCCAACAAACGGAATCCCCTTTCCCCCCCTCCTTGTTTTTATTTTCCGTCCTCCCTTTCTGCGCGGCTTTCCCTCCCATACATCCGAGTTTCTCCTTCCTCCTAGAGAGACCTTGCCTTTCTCGCTTCAATCCGAGCCGCCTTCTCGCTCTCCCTCCCTCACGCGCCGCTGACATGCCCAAGAGAAAGGTACGTGGCTGCGGCGAGGGAAAAAAAAAAAGAAACTTAAGGGCCCGGAGGCGAAGGGGAAGGAAGAGGGAAAAGAATTTCGTGTAGTCGAAGGGAGGGATGCTTATGCGGGGGTGAGCTTTCAGAGCAGACGCCATTTTCTTTCTCTTCTTCTCTACTCCCTCCCTGCACTCGATCGCTTGCTCGCTCCTTTTCCCTCCCCCTTCGCTTCGTTCGCCTTCGGGCGATTAACGGTCGTGAGTCAAGGGGGGAAGCGCGTGCGCGCGAGACGGCTCAACGGTCGTCTTCGGGACTTAAAAAAGTGGGGATGGAGGAGGGGGCGGAGCTTAGGGAAGGCGACCGTTAACCGCCGCGCATTTTTGGTGGCCTATGAAGGAAAGGCGGCGCGCGCGCGGTGTGTGTGTTGGGGGGGGGGGGTTTGACTTTGCGAGCGACTACACAGGCGAAGCTCCGGGCGGGGCGGGGTAGTTGTGACAAGAGAGCGCGAGACGGCCAGCGCGCGCGCAGAGAAGCGCGAGAAACCGCTTAATTATTGGCTGCCCCCTCGCCCGCGCGCTCGCCTTGCCTGCCAATCGGGAAGGGGCACGCGCCGACTTAGGCGCGGAGGGGGCGA